TTTAAAGGTAATAACCAACACCTTGAATTGTGCCCGGAGACCAATAGGGAGCCAGTGCAGCTCACGGAGAATTGGTGTAATGTGGGTGCACATCTAGATGCACCCATGATAGCTCGCACGGCTGCATTCTGGACCAACTGTAGTCTCCGAACACTTTTCAAGGGTAGCCCCATGTAGAGCGTGTTGCAATAATCTAACCATGAGGTGACAAGGGCATGAGTGACTGTGAGGAGAGCCTTATCCCATTTTCTTCTCACAACAAGCCTGTGAGGTAAATCTAATGATAAAACAAATTGTGGTTCAAATTGTGGTGAGCAGGAAGTTGAACAAAAGGCCAAAATATTGATCTTATTTCGTCATGTTGTTCCTACATTCCCCCCCACCCCCGGAAGCAGAATATTCTTTTGAATACTTCATACTTTCTTCAGTACTGAAATCTGGTTAGCAACTGTTTTCTTGTTGGCACCAAGAGCCAGAGATAGTGTGGCTAACTTTCAAAATTATTTTTAGTGTGTTTGCGTGTGTGTGTTTGTGTGTGTGTGAGGTAAAGGTAAAGATACCATTGAGCTGCTTGACTCCTATGGGTGTGTGTGTGTGAGGGAAGATTTATTTTTAAAAATGTCTAATTTGTATTTCAGAAATCTAAACGAAGGGCAGCTTATTCAGATTCAGTTTTTCATCTTTCCCTCCCACCTTTCCCTGCTTATCCGTCATGCTTAGATCTGGTGAGCAAAATCCAAACAGCATTTATCTTTCCAGGCTACTCTGGAGCCCTGCTTGGAAATTAATTTCAGCATGGCTTGCAAGCTGTAAGAAACAGGGTAATCTCTGGTGTTTTTCTATGTACTGGCTTCTTTGCTTCTCCTAGAGTGATTCTATCATTTTCCCTCCTGCCTGCCCTTGACATCCTTCACTGAGTAATGACTTTGCAGTCACTGTGTACATGCACAGAATGAATTCAGGGCAAGTCCTTCATAACTGTGCACTGTAATCTATCCATATATTCTATTGTGTTGGCTTGGCTTGGCAGACAAATCATGTCACTGATGCCACAGACATTTGCCAGGTGTTTTTTTGTAATCAAGATATTTTTTAGCTGCTGGAATGGATACTTATTCTAATCCAAATATTCTTTATATCAGTTTTCAGGTGGGAGCGGGTGGGGAGGGGAGATAAGTAGGAGCCAGATTGAGGTACAAAGTCTTGTTCAAGAGAAGGAACAAAAGAGAAGGAACAAAACCCAAAGGCAATTAGGGATTTGAATACAGATATTCATCTCTGCATGAGTCCCAGTGAGGTTTTGTTTTATTGATGCACAAATAGCTCGGTTTGTCTAATGTATCTACACGTGGTCAGAATTGAATTGGGCCATATATGGGCAAAGCTTAATACACATCACAAAGAAATAAATAAACTTCTTCTGAGCTATAATTGGCACTTTCCAGAACAAACTAGGTGCGTGTACTTGATGAAATAACTTTGCTCTTCTTCCCCTTCTCCAAATGAGCTTATGTTTCACATCAAGGTAGCAAAATTGAATGGCAATAGTGGTACAGGCAGAATATTGGCATGCATATTTGCATATGTAAAGGGTTGACACACATGTACTACCCCAGTCATTTGCAGAAAAAATGTTTGTGTATGTATATGTGTTTGTGTGTGTGTGTTAATGCAAGAGACTTCTGTGAGGGCAAAAATAATTCAGAAAAGCAAAGAGATTTCTGATGACCTGCAGACATTTTTCTTGACATCTGCTTTCCCATACAAAGGGAAAACAGAAAAGTCTGAAAACAGAAAGACAGGTTTCCTACTTCTGTTGTGTTCTTTCCACTATTCATTTAGAATATAAATGTCTGGCTGGCTGGGGAATTATGGGAGTTTTAAGTCCACAAGTTTTAAAGTTGCTCAGGTTGGACACCCCTGATTTAGAAACTTAAAACTGAATTGATGGCCATGTTAACAGGACAGCAAACTTCATCCTCTCCTATTGTTCAAGACACATAGCAAAGAAGTAATCTGAATAAATGCTTTGCTTATACCCATCTCCAGAGAGCATTTTGTTTAGTTTGTTTTATTCATTCTCCTCTCTCTTTAACTTCAGCCTGTCATGCCATAGAGTGAAGCTGATCTGCCAGTTCCATTTTGTATAATCTGTGTTGATCTTTGGTTCAGTGGAAACCAAATATTTGACAGAAATATAGAAATTAGAAATCTGTTACTTTATGGATCAAAAGATAATCATGGGACATTGTCATGTTCTATGAAATAAAAAAGTCAGATAACTGTACAAGTTATCTTTGTAATTTTTCTGTGATTATGAGGTATATCTCTGTGTAAGAAGGCTAATTTTGTTCCAGCTTCCTAAAATTGATATTTGATAAAGAAAGGTATCACATAACATTCTGGATCTTTATACTATAATAAGTTTTGGTTTTTTGACCCAGTTGAATGGGTACTTCTACCTGGTAAATACATTGTCAGCTTCTGTGTATGTGTGTGTGTATATGTGTGTGTGTGTATGTTTTTGTAGATTTTCATGTATACACTTTCATATATACACATACATACATATATATATATACATACATATATGTTTATGCAGCTATGTATACTAGCTAAGTACATCTCCAAATAACAATAAAATGATTCTTATGAAAAGAATCATTTACACAATCAGAGATTATTGGGGAACATAGAAGATAAATGTAAAAATGTACAGTTTCGTACATTCAAGTCAAGAAAAACAAATGGAAACGTGATCTGAAATTTAGGGCCATGCCAAGGGAAAAGTTATGCCCTTGCATGATCTTCATCATTCAACATGGGGGAATTAAAATTAAAATCACCACAAAATTATCCTGATAGATTATTTACCCCAATTTCCTACTCAAGAATAAAATAAGAAAAGTTCCATTCAATTGAAAAAAAGTCATTTGGTGTAAATTCAAGAGGTTCATTAGTAGGTATATGGGCTGTTGGTTCCTTTTCTGAGTATTCTGATCAGCTGCTTAAAGTTTGAGGGATACCCTGGAATACATGTGCCTTACCTTGCCTAAGATTGGAAATCTTAGCACTATCACAAGGGATGCTCAATATGTTTTGTGGAACGAATACAAGAAGCGTTTAAAAAGGGATAGGTCTCCTCCCCCCTACCCCAAAGAACATGTTTTAAAATAATTGCGAATGAAACATCTTGGGTTTAAGTTAAATTCCTTAGATTTTTTTCCCAGAAAACAGAAGATCTGTAAGAAAATGAATTCTTCCAGTCCCGCCCCCCTCCGAAAGGATCTGAAAGCATATCTAAAGATGCGACTGACAATCCTGTGTTGTCCCAATGGGACAATGGGGTGTGCATTAAACAGCTTTCAAACAATTAGTTCTTGGAAAATTTCTGAAAAACAAAACCAGTATAATTTTCAACAGAAAAGCTGATGGGAAACTTTAAGAAAAACTGGGAAGATACCACCATAGTACATGTGTGGATGTCCTCATTGCTGCAAAATGCAAAATTTTCTCTACTCTCTAGTCAAATTGGATGTTCTTGGATTGCAAGGTATTCCCCCCCCCCAGAACTCTGAGAAGTTGCTATAAACTGACCTAACAGTTTATTGGAGAATATGCTTGTTAAAAATGAAAGAATCTTACTTCTTTTTGAATGTCAGTTTACATAGTCTCTAAGTTAAACTTTGTATAACAGCTGAAAGCTACGGCTGGAGTTCCTAAGGTTTATTTAAATTTAAAATTGGGAATTGGGGGGGGGGGCGCTTGGATTAAATTGGAGCAATAAATGTGCTTTTCCTGTCCAAATCCTACTCCACCAAACCAAACCTAATTTATAGTTGGGAATGGTTTCAAGTCCAGATCAGTTCAGTGACTATTTCTTTCAAGCCTGGTTTTTATCTCTTTGCATAAGTCTTTTTACCGTGATTTAGAAAGGAAAAAAACCCCTCCTTTTACCAATGTAAAAAGAGCCCCTTCCACACATCTCCAAAAGAGTCTGCAGGAGTTAACATGAAACAAGGTCAGATTTTGAAATAATTCTCAAGGTAATTTTGACAGTTGTATACAGGATTCTATAAAGGGTTATTTGTAGTGTGTGAAGCCCAGTAAAATCCCTAGGATCAGGTAGGCTATAGAAAAATAAATTAAGTCTGGAGAATTATCCTACTCATAGGCCACCTCAGTTTAAACTAGCTTTCTATTTCACTTATCTGGTGCCATATAAATACCCAGGCTACATTCACACATCGCAGTAATCCATGGTTTGAATCATGATTTTTTTTTTTAAAAGCAAGCCTTGCAACATGCAAAGTCAGAAATCATGGTTTTCAAGCCACAAAGGCTGGGTTTGTACTCCGAACTATGCCAAAGCGAAACAAGCCACATTATTGCTCAGTGCCATGTGTAAACTTAGTCACCAGGCTTCCTTCTTAAGATTCCTATTACCCTCCCCACCCACTGCCCTCTGGCAATTTTGCCAAGAGCTTTCCAGCAGAGTGAAGCATCCAATTATCCTTTACCTGTCACCCTTTGCCTCCTTTACACCAACCCCCTGGCTATTAACCTTCACGGCAGACTCAAGAGACAACTTCAGCCTCATATTTTACATTGATACAGCCACCCAGCTGAGGAGCAGATGGTGCCGACAAGCTTCAGCAGCCCTGTTTGGATTTATCTTGGCTCATAAGTTGCAGTGTTTCACCCAGGAGTATGATGTATATCTTTTTCTATCAGCAAAGAGCTAAGCCAAAACCATCCCTTCCTGCTAAATCCCCCAGTTGTACACAAAGAATGAGATGACCTTTCTGGCTGAAATATCGATTGCCACCAACTAAGCTACACAGAGCGTATTTTCCCCTCTCTTTGCTACTCAAACTGTTGAAAATCAAAATGCAAAGCAATAATTCCCAATCACAGCTAATCCGCCGAAGGAAACAGTTACTAGCTTCCCACTCTGTCCCTTGAACCAGAATTTGGCATCTTGTGGTCATTGTAAATACCTGATCAGAATGGAGACCCCAACATCCTCGCAGTTCACATAGACTCTGTTCCACGTCTCTTGAATCACCTTCCTTTCGGGATCTGACAGCTCTTCGCTTCTTTCCCATCTCTCAATCTCCATTTCTCCTTGGACTTTCTCCATGAAAAACAGGCAGCAAAATCTTCCAAGGAAGCCAAGAGATTAAAAAGATGTGTGAGTCTGGTGGGTTTTGTGTGTGTGTGTGTGTGTATGTGTGTGTGTGTGTGTGTGTGTCCGTCCAGCAAGAAGAGATAAGGTATTCTGTTGGGTTGTGATGGGGTGGCTGATACAGCCCTTGCCTTCTTCCCTGGGTCTGAGTGGCTTCCTATATAGACAGACCGAGATATGTAATAGAGGTAATTAGGGAGGGAGATGGTGTGTGATCAGATTTCAGATCTTCTAGAGCAGTCCATTGCTGTGGTTTCCTTCAGCTCAGCATGTGTGTGTCTGCATGACTCGGAAGAGAAACTGGCAAAAAGTAGAATATTCAAAGGCACTGCAAGACCAGCCTCTTTACCAATGTGAGAATGTGAGCTCACTTTTCGCTCCCCTCCCCTCCCTCCTCCTCCTCCTTCTCCTGTGTGTGCATTTGTGGGTGAGTGAGTGAGAGGGAGAGAGGGGAAAAATGAGTGTCAAAAGCTCCTGCTTTGACTGTTTTATGCCTTGTGTGCTTTCTCTGTTTTCTGCATCTGCAAATGGCTTGGAGAAAATGCAGCATCTGAAGTGAGCAGTTAAACTTATCCCAACAGCTGGCTTAGCTGAGATGATCTTTTTTATGGCTTCCCACCCCCCAACATCTGCTTAGATTGTTTTTATCAACAGCAGCAAAAAAAAAAAATCCTTATCTCTCAGGGTCCCCCCCCCCGCTTTTATTTTTGAGGGAGGGAGAACTGGGAGAAAAAAGACACTCTTGAATCAATGTTTATCTTTTGCACCATCTGAATTATATCTTTCCACTGAAGGAATGTTTCTAATTATACAAGGCTTGGGTTTCGTGTTTTTTTTTTTACTTCCTTCTTATCTGTGAATCAGATATTAGAGGAATAATCTGGTTGAAAGCACTTGTGAAAGAACCGTATTAGTTTATAAACTCTCCTTTGGGTTTTTAGATTGGAGATAAGATAGCTTTTTTTCAGTCAAGAATAAAAGAATAGATTAGAAGCAAATATTGCTGCTTTGTGGGAATACTAGTAGGTTTTTGGCTGGCTCAATGTGTTTGTTATTTCAACTTGGATTAAAAATACTGCCATTTAATTCATTTCTCTCTCCCTCCCTCCCTCTCTCCCTCTCTTTCTCTCCTTTTTCTGTAAGCACATACAGACCTAATTTAGCCTTCCAAGAATTGATGCCTTCTAGGTTTTGGGATTATAACTCTCAGAACTCCATGCCAGCATTACCAAAACTTGCTTTTGGCTAGGACCAACAAATAAATTCTGTATTTATAAATGCTAGGCTATAGTAATTTGTTACTGTCCTGGCCAAATCATTTGGGAATGGTGGTGGACCCCTAAACTAGATCAAAAGGAGTTGGAAAATGTTGATCCTGCCCAAGAATTCCACCACTTCAGCAGATGCTACCTTTGAAACTTACTTTCAAAAGAAATAATGTTCTGGATCAGAGCCATTGTGTCAAGCTGGGAAGGAACAACAGTTGCTTAGTTGGAATCAAGCCCTTATAAAATTAATTTCCGCAATCAGCTTCCTGCTGGACAGCTCCCCTTGTAACCTGAAAGTAATTATTTTTGACTCCTAGGGCTGCTCCTGGCTAAGTGTCTAGGCAGCAAGAGTGACAACAACAACATACGTTGTTCTTTAAAGAGAACAGGCATGGGTGAACCATCTCCTTCCAAACTGCAGACATGATTATTCCAAAGAAGCACCAATATTTCTCATCAGTACTCTGTCAAGTTCTGCTTGTTCTTATCCTCCTTGGAAGTCATTGAAATGTCTACCCATGCCAAAACACAAATCCTACGGTATTACTGTGAAAACTACAAGAAAGTTTACCTCAATGGACATTATGTGCTGCTATATTTAAATGAAGTATGATACTTTTTCAATATAACCCTTTTGGTTATATTGTGGATTACGTGTAAAAATTCTGATTAAGGTTTTGTTATAGTTTCTTCTCTCAAAACACTGAAAGCACTTTGCCCCCCATTTCAGAGGGAAGAGCTTGTGGCTTAACATGGATTTTGGCTCCTAAGAAAATTCTTACCGGTTTGCCAATCTTCTGGGAGAAACAGGCTAGTGGACTAGGAGGGCCATTTAATATGGCTTTAATAAAGAACTGCATCACTAAAATTCAGCTGACCCAAAAGGATTTAAATAGTGAACCATTTTTTTAAAAAAATTCAGACCAAACTAGCAGAAAAGATGATACATATCTGTATTATAAATATAATTCAGGTGTTTCAATCTTCTTTTACAACACAGCATTTTTACAGAAAATTGGGAAAACAAGAGTGATTGAAGGGGCAAGATTGAAGCTTGAAGTTGAAAAGAAACACGATAAAGTAATAATTATTTACTCAATGAGTTTGAACCTCCAGGGCTAGATGAATAGCATCCAAGGGTATTGGAAGAACAAAGTGATAGGATGGCTAATTATGAGAATGACAATGATGATCATCACAAATAATCACAAATTTAAAGGGGGAAAAGATGATGAATTATGGCCAGTTAATCCAGTGGTGGGTTTCAAAAAATTTTACTACCAAAGGTATGGCTTGGTGGGTGTGGCATGGCTTGGTGGGTGTGGCAGGGGAAGGATACTATAAAATCTCCATTCCCATCCCACTCCAGGGGAAGGTTACTGTAAAATCTCCATTCCCTCCCCAATTCAGGGGAAGGTTACTGCAAAATCCCCATTTCCTTCCAATCAGCTGGGACTTGGGAGGCAGAGAATAGATGGGGGCGGGGCCAGTCCTAATTTTTACTACCGGTTCTCCAAACTACTCAAAATTTCCACTACCGGTTCTCCAGAACTGGTCAGAACCTGCTGAAACCCACCTCTGAGTTAATCTGATACCAATATTTGGAAAGATTCTAGACGTACCAGTAGAGATTCGTCTGTGGGGACTTGAAAATGCAGTAATTATTAGGTCAGCATCAGATTTGTTACCAGACTAATTTCACCTCATATTTTGACTGGGTGATGCTTTAATAAAAAAAAAAAATTCAAATGAATTTTCCCCCAAATCAGCTGACTTTAACAAATAACTGTAATGATGGGAAGGAATAACCTTGAGGAACAGAAGGAAGAGCCACTACCAAGATAACAGTCAGGTGAAAGAAAACAGAGTCATGGCTAGAACTTTAACCTGCATAAACATCTCAGGCAAGACTCTCCCTATTTCTCATGAAAATAAAGGGAGGGAAGGGGAAGTACATTCAGACTTGCAGGAATCTGTTGCTATAACAGAGGTAATAAAAGTAGTATTAGCATTCGTACCATCTTGAAAAACTGCCAATAACAGAGAGCTGAAATGCTGCCAATAATTGAACTTACGTGAATATTTTGCTCTTAGCATTTGCAGGGAATATTGCATGTGGTGCAGATGCAGGTGAAGCTGATAATGTAGTCTATATCTCCTCAACATTACTGAAAAATATTACCTGAAAGTTTGATTGACCAAAGCTATGCTGGAAGGTGAGAGGTCTCCAAAATCTATAGGGCTGTCTCTGGAGATAACTATGGAATGTGGGAGAGTGTGACTTAGAATGTACAAAGGAGTAAAGAGGAAGAAGTGAGGAAAAAAATCAGAGTGTTGTATAAAAAGGTATCAATAGCAATAGCACTTAGACTTATATACTGCTTTACAGTGCTTTACAGCCCTCTCTAAGCGGTTTTACAGAGTCAGCATACTGCTCCCAACAATTTGGATCCTCATTTTACCCACCTCGGAAGGATGGAAGGATGAGTCAACCTTGAGCCTGGTGGGATTTGAACTGCCAAATTGCAAGCAGCCGGCAATCAGCAGAAGTAGCTGCAGTACTGCACTCTAACCACTGCACCACCGAGGCTCTCAAATTAATCTCTCAATGGAATGAATAGAAAATAGAGGTAGGGAAAGAAAATGTGGGAGCTGCATGGAACACTTATGGGACACAATGTCGCCAAGTAATATGAAAATATGAGAAAAAATATTTGGTGGAATAGTAAACCATTATATAAAAACTTAATCCATTATTTGGATGACAAAAGTAACAGAGTTGCAAGGGATGTTGGAGGTCTTCTAGTCCAATCCCACGCTCAGGTAGGAAACCCTATACCATTTCAAATAGTTGTCCAATCTCTTCTTTAAAGCCTCCAGCATTGGAGCACCATCAATTTCTGGAGGCAAGTCATTCCACTGATTAATTGTTCTAACTATAAGGAATTTTCTCCTTATTTCTGGGTTGCTTCTCCCCTTGGTTAGTTTCCATCAGGTGCTTCTTGTCCTCTCTTTAGGTCCTTTGAGAGAATAGGTTGACCCCCTCTTCTTTGTAGCAGACCCTTAAATATTGGAACACTGCTATTATGTTATCCCTAGTCCTTCATTTCACTTCACTAGATATACCCAATTCCAGCAACTGTTATATGTTTTAGCCTCCAGTCCCTAATCATCTTTGTTGCTCTTCTTTGCACTCTTTCTAAAGTCTCAACATCTTTTTATATTGTGGCAGTCATATAAAAAAAGATACATATAAAATGCATATAAAAGAGACACTGTTGTGAAATATTAGGATGAGAGAAAGAGATTGTATAATCATCCATAGAGGAAAGGATAGATGCAAAGAATGTAGTCAACACAGAACTGTTAAAAGAGGAGAAAATTTGATTTTAACTAATATTTTTTTAAAATGTTTTTGAATTAGATGAAGTGGGCTCAGTAGAATGACTAGAATTAAGAACAAAGGTATGGAAATGATTTGGGATGAAAAGTGAAAGAATGCTAGAGGAGTTTTGAGATATTTTCATGGGAATATAGTGGTATCTCAAAGAATGGAGCTGGAAGTATTCATGAAAAAGTGATCTAAAGGAAGTCAAACATGTTTTCAGAATGTTGAAAGATTGTTAGATGTAAATCGTGTAATTAGTAAAAGGTTAAAATATTAGTGTTGTTTGCTTATGACATGCCTATGTGATTTATTTAACACACAGAGCAGGGGTGTCAAACTCGCATCATCACAATGGTATCACATGATATATCGTGACTTTCCCCCCTCTTTGCTAAACTGGGCGTTGGCGTGGCCAGAGCGTGATGCATCTGCCCTGCGGGCCACGAGTTTGATAGCCCTGACATAGAGAGACTGATTTTATCTCTGACAACTAGAAAATGCAGTTTTCCCAAAGAGACAAATGCCTGTAGTAAGATTAAATGCAAAAACTACATGGAGATTAGTTTGCACAGGGAAGGCATTTGGCAGAATTATGACTGAAAAGCTATGAAATGGGACAGCAAAATTTAGGAAGCATTGTACACATTTATGCCAGCAGACGATTCAAATCAGACTTTAACTCATTAGCAAATCACTGAGAAATGTATGAATGTGATAAAGAAATTTCATCTTTAGCCTTAGAATCATCCAACTAGCAGCTCATTCCAGAATGTTCTGGACCCCCTGAAGGACCAGCTCCAGGT